CCCGGGAGTTTGGCCAAGGTTGGCCTTTAAGGAATTTTTTTGTTTTTTTTAGGGTTGTCCAAAAAAAAAAAATCCCTTGGGGGGGGGGGGGGGGGGGAGGAGGGATAGACGGATGAGGTCCGTTTTGTAGGGTGCTGGAAGTAGGATGCTTCGATCAAAGCTCAGACCGCGTTTTTTACGTCACGTAAGACAGGAAGCAGCAACTCCGGTAGTGGTGTAGTTTGCCGTGTTTTTGCACCCAGTGTCTGAGGGAACGATTTGCCACTCGCGGCCTGTGCACGTCATTCTGGCCGAGGCGCACCGGGAATACGTATCGAAAGTTGTGGGGGGGGGCAATTTTTCCGCCCCCCACGCCCTGCCCGTTCTACGAAGAGGTTTCCTATCGTTCTGGAATACGGGAAACCGCGATTTTTCCGCTCCCGATCCCCCCCCTCCCTCCCTGACAGAACAACCACGTCCGTCGCCTGATCTAGTGCGTGTTCGAGTACAAGCCGGATCAAGCATGAGTAGCACCAACGTTCCGTCGGAGAAAACACAAGCTCACGTGTATGCTCCATGTATCAAGCGATTCCGGCGAGGCCACCGCAAGAGAGCGCTCTTAGCTAATTTGTCCCGCAGCGGGTGGATCATTAAAACCCCCAAACCCTAAAGGACCCCCTCCCCCTTCGCTTCTTTGCTGGCTGAGCATGAAACCAACCCTACACCAATCTCTTGAGCCTGGCTGACGCGCACGAAACCGCGCATAACCGTAGGCGTCGTTTTACACAAAACACACCTTGAGCTTTTTCCCCTCCTCCTTCACCCTCTTCTTGGCCTCCCTCCGCTCCTCCTTCGTGCTGGGCAGCACCCGGTGCTCCTCCTCCTCCTCTTCCTCGCCATCCGCGGGCCCACCGACACCCTCCTCGTCCCCGCCCCCCGCCCCCTCAAGGCTCTGCGTCTTGAGAGTTGACAGTCCCGCGTCGGCCCCGTCTAGCTCCGCGTCCAGGGTCGGAGGATACCTGCCATCCCAGCCGAACCGGCAGGCATACAAATGAGTGCCCGTTCACGCCCGAAAAGCAACAAGAGGGACAAAGCTGACATGGGTTGCTACTGCTGCATCTGATGCGCTTCCGACACGGCCGCTGTTACGCGCGATGGTTGCCGTAGCTGCTCCAAGAAAAGGGTCGCCTATGTCGATTCCGCCCGCAAGCGAAAGCCTCGTTTCGTCTTTCGGTGTAGCAAGAAGCAACGAGGGCGAAATACCCCCCAACCCTCGCAGATATACACATACCTGAGGTCCAGGGTGTGGAAGAGCTTGAACATGGCGAACTTCAGGAGTGTCTCGTAGAACTCGAGGAAGGTCATCATGATCGTGAAGTCCACGTCGCGCGGGTAGCGGGTGGTGAACATGTGCGGGGTGACCCAGGTGACCGGCTGGCCCATCACCTGAAAGCGTGGCGATTGCATGAGAGCAACAACAAGAAGACTTTTTATTGTTGGGGTGAGGAAATACAAAAAAATAGCGAAACCAGCGTATGTGACGGTCAAGCCGAACACACCGTTCAGCGAGACGATGCAAAAGCTCAAAACACAACACAGACGTGAATCACTAGGTGCATCCTATTTATCGGTTGTTGTGTCGTATCAAGACAAACGAACATCCCGCAGGAAGTTCCGTTTGGGGCAACGGAGTATCAAAAACTTCACAAGCTACACATGATTGCTGGTAAACTTGTCTTGTGTGGTTAATTTTTAAGTGACGTTAGCCTTGGTCGTCTCATACGCAATCGCCGGTAATTGTACGCTGCTCCGGTGCCGGCTGTGATACAGTCCAGGGGTTTCTACATCTGAGGTGGATTCGATACGCGCAAGTATGTCGCGTCAAGGGGGGGGGGACGACAAGTTGGTGGTGGTCGTTTTCCAAAGGAGCACACGACGATCACGTCAGACCGAACTCTCAACCACCTCGGGCGCTTTTTCGTTTGCTTTTTTTCCCCTCGTGAGCAACAACCACACCGCGGAACGACGCAGTGACCGAATAAACTCTGACCACGCCTACTGCTGTACCTCTGCCTGGAAATAGATGCCCTTGATGGAGACGAACACCTTGGAGAGACACTTTGCCTTGGACACGTAGAACGACCACTCCTTCACAAGACGCTTGCACGTCTGCGTGTGCGCCGAAGATTGCCGACGCATCTGAGGGGATGGGGGGCGGGGTAGGAATCACGTGACCAACCACAAACGAAACCATGCCGACCAAAACTGTAACTGCAAGTCGACAAGATGCTACTGTACCATGAGCGAAAAACAAATCTCGGGTATCCCGTATTCAACTTGCGCGTGGGTGCGTTGAACATCAGATCACACACTCATCTACTCCAGGAGGTCTATCCATCATTGCCGAAGGAGGACTTGCTCCAGTACCCAAACATTAGCCATCACAGCCCAGGTTCACAATCTGTGCCGTATCAATTTTTCCACCATCCCATCAGGATAAAACCTCCCCAGTGGTTCCCACAATCGAGACTTCTCCCTCCTACCGTGCTCAGCTGAGCATCGACAGGAACGTTGCTCACTATTGTGTTGTACCTCGCCTTGTGATGAATATATCTCCGGAAAGTATGTAGAGAAAGACGCAGCAACCAACAAGGAGATGGTAGCAGCAGCACCCAGAATAAAATAACAGCAACGTCGCTTTTATCACAATACCCATCAATCAACACCGCCACCAACATCAACAACGACGACGACAACAGCAGCAGCAGCACCTGCGGAAGAGAGGCGAAGAGATGCACGAGAGACAAGGCGTCGTCCAGGTCGCGGACAGCGTCGACGAAGCGCGGGTATCGCTCCTTCACCAGGTGGTCCAGCTTGTACGTCGGCCTCTCGTTCAGCTCTTTGCGCTGGGAGAGCGGACAGAGAGAGCAGAGGACGCGGACGGAAACAACTCAGCCCGCCGAGCCACACCACCACGACCACACCGGTAGTGGTACCGGCAAGGACAGGAGCCGCAAATGCAACAACACGAAGAGTACCAGTACCAGTACCAGCAGCAGCAGCAGCGTTGTCTTACCTGCGCGTCCTTGATGTTCTTGCGACCGATGGTGCGCCGCAGCTTCCGCATGAAGGCCTTGAAGTCACGGAAACTCTGCAGCACGGGCTCGTGCGCGAGGAAGCCGACGTCCTTGATGTGGTAGTACGTCTTGTCCTGCAAAGCGCCCAACAAAAAAAAAGTATGGTTAGCCTTGAACACTGTCTTTTAACATGGGAGATCCTGTGACACTTTGGACGTTGCAGCAGGCGAGGGAGGTAGAGATACCGCGGGACGCAAACACTGCCCTTCGAGTTGCCACCCAGGCTGAAACTGTAACATTGTCTCCGATACTTCAACCAACAGCATTGACGGTCGCTGATAGAGACGATCAGATACTGGTTCGAGCCAAGATGATGATGGAGCCGTACCAAGGGGCCCCCGTACAATGAAAAACGCAGCTTAGGCGGCGCAACTGGAGTCTCAGCCCAGCTCGATGAAAGCACTTAATACTCGTAGTAAGCACACAGCCAAAACCTTGGCCAGACGTGAAAACAAAATCCGAAGTATTGCCCGGTGGTGAACTTGGAGGGTGCAAGCACATGGACCAGAAAAAAAAAAAGAAGACAAAACAGAGCAGAGTAACACACTCGCCTTTCCAGACGCCTTCTTGGAAGGATCTCTCGGGTACACTCCCTTCAGGATGCACAGCCGCCGGAAGTCTCGCAAGGAGATTTGCAGCCTGCGGAGCACCTGAGGTCGCAGCGGTGGTTTGTTTCGTACAGTATGTACCAAGGCAAGGCACGACGAGGTTCATAGTTGTTTAGATCGATGGCATCTGATGCGAAGGGGGGTCGTCGAGTTCAGTGTCGTTGGCATTGGACGTCGGTGCCGGCTTGACAGTAGCCGCCCTCGAATTATGTCAACAATTTGGCGCAGCTGAAGAACAGGAGAGGAGGTGTTGGCGACCGCTTGCTGCAGAAGTCTAGCAACATCTACTATACAAAAACTTGGCCAATTCGTGGATCATGAGACTCCCCGTACCACTGCTGTGCAGGGGAGGGAAAAAAAGGGCGAGCGGGCAGTCACCAGGATAACATGTTGAGAATTGATCGCGCGGTGCAGCGTCTTGTCAACTCCTACCAGGTACGTGGGCCACACAAAACGAAGGATATTGCGCCGCATTTTTTGAAGCAGTCGCCGTCCATGGCAGCTCGATTACCGACTACAAAAATGGTACTACTGTACACAGCAAGAAGTTCTCTGCTCCACCCCTTGGCCGGGCAATGGAGAGAGCATTGCCGAGAATCATGCCACCCACTGCTGGCCGACGACCACTAGGCGCCACACGCTATACTGCTGGGACACTGCACTTGCGCACCGCTGCTGTCTACCACTGACTTTGAGTTCACGAACCCAACCCCACAACAGCGGTCTTACGCCGTATGGCACAGAGGAGACAACTGTTGCTACCGATCGACACACCCACACACCTGGGCGCGCGTGAGGTAGCTGGCCGCCGCTCCTTTCTCGCCCTTCTTGAGCTCCTTGCCCATCCGCTGGGTGCGCCGCTTAGACCCCATCTTGCGGTTGATCTTGGCCTTGACGCTCTTCGGCTTGGGCCTCGACTTCGGCCGCGCCTTCACGTGGTTCCCCATGGTCTACCGCGCTGCGAGTTCTATCAATCCGTTACCGCCTAGGGGTGCTGTTGTCCTGCCGTCACGTGCTCTACAAGCCAAGCTACTGTAGGTGGTGGTGAGGTGCGTGGTCGGTGGTCATGCGGCGCTTTAGGAGTTCGTAAAATATTCGCGTTTTGGTTCTCACTTTCCGCGCGCGGTGAGATCAGTCTCTCGCCGCTGACACGCACCAGCAAGCGCCAAGCCACCACACAGGGCAAACAGCAGCAACCCGCCAAACTGTCTTGCTTTGGCGACCAGCTCACACAACGCACTGGTTGTTTGTTGGGCAAGTGCCCCTGATCGCGAGAGGAACTCAGGTGCTTTCGCCGCGAGAGTTCAACGAACGGGAGTCGCTGGGAACACGAGAAAGCAAGAAGCCGAGTGTCCTTTCCGAAGGCGTTCGAGAGAGCGGCGGCAGTGGATGCCATTCCAGTGCCTCTCCGAAGACATAGCCGCCGCCCCAGTTCCGATGGATGTCACCCCGACGCAGCGCATGATGTCGGCGTGCGCCGGAGTGCTGGCGACAAGCCTGGTGGTGACCCCGATGGGTGAGAAGGACGGCTTATTGTTTCGTTTTTGGCCTTTCCCCACGCGCTAACAACAACGCCGCCAAACTTCCCATTCGAAAACGACTGCGTTCCAGAGAGCCAGCCTCGAGGGCACAGGCGCGGGCAGTTGTTGCGCAATTATTAGGCCGGGATAGAAGATTACGACCCCGATGCATGACCTCAGGCGTCGAATAGTCGAGAGAAACAAGACATATGCTTTGACCGTTTGCCACCATCCACAATTCCTCTCGTTGGCAATTTGCTGTCGATTCAGGGCACGTGCATCAAGCAGGGCACACGCCCAAAGCACCGTTCTACCTACAACCATCACGTCACCCGTGACCACGAGAGCCGAGCGGCTTTGTCTCGAGACTGCTGCTTGTACCGATCTATTTTCTTCGTGTACACAACACACACGTGATGTTGAAGACGATTTCATCTGCGAGCGAGAACGGTACACGGTGACCATGATATGACGAATCACGTAAATGTACAAGCAGCAGTACACTGTAGGTGTGCATCCAGGGTGGCTTTTGAACGGTGGGGGCCTTACGCTCGTCTTGTTGGCGTTTTCGAGGCCCCCGTATGCGTACATACCTGTATGTCCAAAGTCTTGCCATCTATAACACAAATAGTATAATGCGAACTGAGGTAATGAATAGTAAATATCGGTAGTGCTGTTGGTCCACTCTAATTTCAATACTGCAAGGTACGTATTTGTAGTCGTGGCCAAATTACAGTATTGCCGTCAAGGTACTCGTCGAACGCTGGAACAAAGGCTACCGACAACCAGCGCTAGCACGGCGTATGTTCCTACCCTTTGCTTTACAGACCACATCGGCGGCATTTTGGATGAGTTGGTGCTGTCGCGCTGCCCCTGGGAGAAGGGCGTTGTTACACACTTGCCCTATACGGGTGGTATGCATACAGAAGTAGTAGGCGACGGAAAAAATATCGAAGAAAACCCGCCAAAGCGAGTTCTTCAGCAGGCATCTGTAACTTTGTCGTACATGCCACTACTGATAATAACGCGCAAGACAGCAGAGACAGGCACGCGGTGTCGCTTCCCCAGATCACCACTATTCAACAAGGAAGATGGCCCCATGTTGTGGTACCCTAAATGGCCAGAGGGAGCACATTCTCCTGCGTGACCCATGAGCACCATGGGCTTCCGCGAGTTTTCTTGGCTGTCTCGCAGGACGCTCGTCACTCCTGTTGTTTCTTCATCAGTCCGATCGCGCTATCTATTCTGTGTATAGCGTTTCAGCATTGTGCAGGGCCTTCGCCTCCACGAAATATCTTTGTGGCCGACGAGGCCTTTGCTAACTCGTTTAGCCCTCTGTCCGTCTGTCCGTCTGTCTGTCTGTCTGTCTGTCTGTCTGTCTCTGTCTTCTTCGGCCTGGCCTCCCCTCTCCGCTCTGGCCATTATTCAGACGTGGTGAAGACGCGAGTGCAGGCGGCGCAGGCAGAGTACGTCAGCCAGCAGACGGCGTCCTCCCTCAACGCCGGCCGCTGCGGCAACGAGAACTGCCACCAGTGCGCGGCGCCACAGGGCAGAACGTACACCACCTCCGCCCGGGCCACCCTGGCCGGCTTCGACGGCACGGCTTCTAGCGCAGCAAGGCTAGCGCTAGAGGCGGCTACAACGGCAGCGCCGCCACCGAGGGAGAGAATACCGGCCCTGCCCACCGGCACCGTGGCCGCGCTGATGCACATCGCGAGGTGGGAGGGTCCCCGCGGACTGTACCGGGGCCTGGACGCGTCCCTCGTCATGGCGATCCCCTCCACCGTGCTCTACTACACCGTGTACGACGACTTCCTGGCGCGGCTGGAGAAGGCCGGGGTGGGGAATCTCGCCGCACCGGCGACGGCGGGCTCTAGCGCCCGCCTGCTGGCCACTGTAGTGATGGCGCCGCTGGAGCTCGTGCGCACGCGCGCGCAGTCGCACGGGGGGGGAGGGCCGGCGGCACCTGCTGCGGCTCAGAGGGCGGCGGCGGTTGCGACGGGGCCGGGGAGAGGGGCGGGGTTGTGGGGCGAGATACCGCTGGTGGGATCGGTCGGGCGGGACCTGACGAAGGTTTTCCAGGAGGAGGGGATGGCGGCGCTCTGGCGGGGGGTGGGGACGACGATGTGGAGAGACGTGCCGTTCTCGATGGTGTACTGGCTGGGGTACGAGAACCTCAAGGCCGGCCTAGGGTGCGGAAGGAAAGGGGGAGCTCCGGCGGCGTCGGCGGCAGGGGGGGGGGGTCGGGGGACGGCGGGGCTCGCCGAGGAGAGGGGGTCGGCGGATTTCTTGTTGCGATCGTTGGTGGCGGGGGCGGTGTCCGGCATGGTGGCGAGCCTGTTGACACACCCCTTTGACGTCGTGAAGACTCAGCGACAGGTGCTGGTGGATGTGGTGCCCGGTGAGTTCCTCCGCTTAAGGTGGCCCGTCGTGTGCTGCACGAGGCAGAAGCACCGCAGGTAGCGCTTGCGTGCCCCCTGGTGACCTCGCCACTTACAACAGTCCTCGTTCTTGTTTTTGGTGACGTACAGTATGCACAACATGAGGCATGTGTTTGCTGCAGACACGGCTATGTGAATAGCCAGTGTTGTGTTGCAACCCTTAGGGAGCGAGGAAATATGTCGGTGTGTGAGTGGATACCTGCTGTTGTGATCGTTGTGTCTGTCAGTTTATATCCTTTTTTTCTCTCCCGGGACATTGAAACATTCAATGACCGCCCTCTGTACGCCGAGCGGGTGGGTCTGCTGCCCCCATTAGCAACAACGCCACCCAACGCCAACGATTGCTTTGCTGTGTCGTGGGGATGGGTTAGCCACAACAACGTACGCGCATCACTAGAGATAGGCAGGGATCGTCCCGCTGCTTGTGAATTACCGGCCTTGACTGGCAAGAAAAATTGGCAGTGCACTAGCCGGTGACGCGCGTAGTTATCTCTGGTTTCGTTCGGTTTTGGGCGAGGAACTCGCGAATCGACGCGCGCTACCGCATCGATGCGCACCATATGGCGTGTGCCCCGGTGGTTGTGCCGAGAACGATTGTCATGCGGCGCCGTAGTACCGACATCAAGATTCATTTTCCAACCCCCTCGCCTTGTCCCTTCCCCGTGCCTCCCGGACAGAATCTGGTTGCGAGCACCGGCCACCACCCCCGCCCCGGAGGGAACCTGGCACGTTCGACGTCATGCGAAATATCGTGAAGAGCAAGGGGCCGGCGGGACTGTTCACGGGCGCGTTGGCGCGTGTGGGCAAGGTGGCGCCGGCGTGCGCGATCATGATGATCAGCTACGAGGCGGGCAAGCGTTTCTTCGGAGAGAGAAACGCAGCAGCAGCAGCAGCAGCTTCAGCTGCTGCTCCGTCTGCTACGGCAGGGACTACTTAAACCACTCTTGATACGCACGTGGGGTTTAGGTCTCGAAACTTGTACGACTGAAAGAATATACGATTGACGCTCTTTTTTAGTCGGTGTAACGAGTGAAATATGTCGGTGTTTCGGCTGCCTGCAACACGCTGCGCGGTCGCTGCGTCTGAGGTTGGGACGGGATTATTTTGTGCTTTCGGCTACCGCTTGTCTCCCGGCATTGCTGTGTTTGCGGGAAGCGCGCGTGTTGCGAAAGGTGCTGCTCCGGTGTGTGTGCTTTGTTCTTTCATTCCCGTCACTCGCAGAAAGTTGGCTGTCCAAGACGAAGGGCGGGGGTTATTTTTCCAAGACTGTGATTTCAGTGTGCCTCAAGGCTGAGTTTCGTTGGTAGTGAGATGTGGAGAGGGGCCGATGGTGTGGCATCCCATGGTGTGGCATGCACCGCCTGTCAAGCACCAGTACGCACTACTCCTGGCCTTGAGCTTAAATTCCACTAGTTGTCTTTCGCCGCCGCTTGTGCGATTTACTTTGTGTCTCATGTGAGGTGTGCGCAGGCTATTTGCGCGTGGCGTTTTCCTTTTTTCCCCCCAAGAGTTTGGAGGTCGGCACTTTGTAAATTGCTCTACAATTTTTAAATGTTGGATATTCCGGTGAAGCCCTGAGTGGCGCGTCGTTTACTTTTTCCTTGTTGCATAACGCACACACTACGACTTTCCTCAGCTACTACAAGTTCCGACGTCAGGGATGCGAAATGCTGATTTCTGGACGTCCTTGCCGATTTTCGTCGTAGGTTTGGGTGGAGATCTACGACGTGAGCTCGGGTTTGCGCTAATGAGAGGTACAATCTTGTAACATATCGGACTCTTCCTGTTCCTGTGTTCCTCTTGTGTGACCCCGGCTGATACGTCAGGTATATACGCCGAAAGACCTTCGAATCGGCGCCAGAATAGATGGAACGAACACACACACACCGGCAAACCTTCAACAACAACAGCAGAGTGAGGGTGGACGAGCGGAGTGAAAAATCTCACACATGCTTCAGCAAGCACAGCAGTGGGGAGCGTATCAGCAATGTAAGAAGACAGATCATTATTTATCTGGAAATCGCTGAAAGACAAACACCTTCCTGCCTGCCAATGCTGGCTGGACTACGGTTGATATGTCGTGCTATAGCAGTCGCTCATGCTGGCAATGCTGGCAACGACAGTAGCTCATGCTGGCAAGTGCGAAATGCTGGATCCACGGGGGCCGGAGATGGTACTAAAGGTTGACAATGCGACCCCCCAATGAACGTTTACACTATCCACGGCCCCCCTCTGCTCGCTTGCTCGCTGTGCTCGTCGTGCGTTACACGCACGGACTGCACCTCCTGCTGCCGCTGCCGCCTCTTGTCTCCTGCGTACTCCCTTTCACACCACGATGCATGTGGTCTGCGCACCAGCGGTGCTTCTCCTCTCGCTCGTCACACGAGCCGGGGCCTTCGCCTTCTCCTCCGCTCCTTCCGATTCATGTTTCCATCACACTGTCAACAACCGCAGGAGCAGCAACAGCGGGCGGCGGAGCCTAGCTAGCCGGCGCGCAGCTTTGAGGTGCAGCAGACGAGAGATGCAGAGACACAGCAGACATGATGTGTCGTTCGGCTTGTCGTCGTCGCGACAACACTGCAGGCAGGCGGGCCGACAGCTGTTGCGGCGGCATGGCCTCGCCGTGCACCCACCAGCAGCAGCAACTGCAACTACGACGAGCAGGAGCATGCACCAAGGCGATGCCAACGGCGAAGGGGAGGAGGAGGAGGAGGAGGAGGAGGAGGAGGAGGACAGGCTTGACCAAGCTCGGCGACGACTACCACAGCAGCAGCAGCAGCAGCAGCCAAAGAGGCGGGGACAGCAGTCGCGCGCGGATTTCCTACGAGCAGGAGCGTCCATGGTCGGGTTTGCAGGCGCGGTGTTGGGAGCCCAACAAGAGGTGGGTGAATTGGATAGCAAAGAGTAGGCTACAGCAGTAACGCAGCATGCACCGTTGTTTGCGTACTGTTCAAGATCTTTGTCAGTTTGTATTGTACATGTATCAACAGCTTTGCGCCCTTGCCCCTTACATACATGTAGTTGCGAAGTTTGTGTACACTGCTGTCTCGGCCGCCTCACACGAGAACTGTGGACACCGAGCGGTCGGTGCAGGCTGTCTGTCACAGGTGGGGACCTCTCGGCTATGATGCTCTTGGTATCGTATGTACTTCTACACAAGAGGTAAGTATCAGATGTGAATTGCTGCAGCGTTGACAAGGTGCAGGTCGAGAAGAGGTGAGTGTGCCAGCCGGTTGATCATCTGATATCCGCACTCGGAGAGTGTCTGCTTCTGCCGAGGGGGGGGGCGTCACGATCGCCACTGGGTTTACAGTACATAGTTCTCTTTGGCCATGAGCCGCCATCGCGAAAGACAGATCCCACCTACTCCCGTACGGCGGCCGCCACGTCGTGCAATTGTACAAGGTCACCTACACGTGTGTGCTCTTTCGAACGCGCGTGGCTGCTGCTACATGACCCCCTTCTACGACCCGTCCTTGTGAGGAGCTATTCCCTCTGTCTGCACAAAGCCGCGGTCTCTCCCTATCTCTGCGGAACACCATACCATCGCCGCCTGCGCTTGCTCCGCTCGGCTAACCCCACGCAACTATGTACCGAGTTCACGAGTTTTTTCTGCATATGAAATAGTCTAGAGGGGAAAGTTTCGACCCTACCCCTAGTCCTATCCCCCAACCCCCAACTAAAACCAAACTATATCATCTCGGAGGCTATGCACTGACCTACAACCTTCCTTGCGCTGCTTCCGCTACACCCCGTCGTTCCTCAGGCCGCGCGGGCCATCGACCTCGGGGGCGTCGAGTTCGGGTTCGGGAACAAGAACGCCTTCACCATCCCCCCGGAGGACAACCCGGACGGGCTGCGGTCACCGAGACCCCTGGCCTACCGCATCGAGTACACGGACCCCCCCACAACGGTCCCGTTCCCGAGGGACACAGAGGTGCGTGAGATGGCGGCTTGGCCCGAGGTTGTACGACAATTATGATTTCCGCTGTTGCTTGGGGGGTCGTGGTGGATGAAGTGGGGATCGAATCGTGCTTCGATTCGGGATTTTCACCGTTTGCCGGGGACACCGCCAGGAAGGCAGCTGGAGCGTTCGGTAGCTCGAGCGGGAGAGTAGTCGACGGGTCTTGGGAGGCGAGCGGTCAAGGATGACAGCCGTGCCCCGCCCGCACCGAGACTCACCCAACTGATTAATACAATGCGCGTCTGTTTTTTTTTTGTTCAAACCGGGAGCTCCCGGAACCGCCTCGCGCCAGCAACCGCGATATAGGTATCAAGCAGAAAACCACCCAAACCGTTGTCCTTAAAGGCGTGGACCCTCCCCGCACGACTGTTTGACGCGATCGGGCCCAGCTTGAAACGGGGGTTTCACAGAGGTGGTCTGTGTCGATCGGGCTATGTACATGTACGTACTCCTCACATTGCCCCGGTAGAAACACACGATCGCGTCTCTCTCTCCACCCCCCCCTCAAAGTCGTTTTTGTTGTTTACCCCCCCCCTGGTGATGTCCCCCCCCCCGGTGTTTGCCATCGGGGTTGGGTTTTCGTCGCTTGGCAACGACGTTGTAAAACAAGCCGCCCCCCCCGGTGTTTGCCATCGGGGTTTGGGTTTTCGTCGCTTGGCAACGACGTTGTAAAACAAGCCGCCCCCCCCGGTGTTTGCCATCGGGGTTTGGGTTTTCGTCGCTTGGCAACGACGTTGTAAAACAAGCCAATTCACTTCGTGAACTCGGCAACCAGGTTACCGGTTTTTTTTTTTACCTCGGTTTTTTTTTTTTGGCGGTAACCATAATGGTGGTCGAGTAGATCATGTTGTGCGGGGTCGAGAAACCTCACTCCGCGCAACGGGGGATGATCGCACCTCGTTGTGTTAAAATGGTCAAGCTTCCTCGAGGCAGTTACACAGCGCTTACAACTGTCTCTGGAAGTGAAAGCACCAGAAAATAAATTAAGTCATACGTAGCTGTCATCCGTACGCAAGGAAGTAAGCACAAGATGCCGAACACCCTTAGCAGGATGCAGCTCACCCTTCATGCGACTCGCCAAATACCTCACGGCGCTTCGCGCTTGGTGATGTGAGAGCCTGGTCCGGTGAGAACCCGGCGTGCTCCGTCCCGGCTTTGTAGGGATGCGAGGTCAATGGTCAAACGACTACGGCATGCACGACTATGAGTACACCCCCCCCGACTATGAGTACACCCCCCCCTGGTGATGTGCTAGCCGTCCCGGCTTTTTAGGGATGCGAGGTCAATGGTCTAACGACTACAGCATGCACGACTATGAGTACACTCACCCCTCTCCCCTCGACGTGTCGCCGCACGCACAGCCCAACCTGGTCAAGGAAATAGCCGGACAGGGGCTCGTTTTCTTCGGGGTGCACGGGGAGGACGCACCGGACCCGGCGCTGGCCGCGGACGTGATAGGCAAGCTTTCCGCCAGCCTCAAGAACCAGGCGGCCATCGGACTCGAGCAGGCAAGGAACCCCGCCGTTTTGCCGCGCGCGAGAGGATGTGTGTCTTCTTGCACCTTTTTTTTGGGGGGGGGGACGGGGGGGGGAGGGGGGCGAGAATCGGGAACATCGTGCGCACTTTTTTTCTGCGTCCAGCGGGAGCCTGACATTGGTTGCGAAATGGGGAGTGGGGGTGGTTGTGAGGAGGACGTTGGACCATGTGTACGCTGCTCAACTTGCGGGGGTGTGGGGGTGTGTGGAGAATTGGAACGACAGGCGGATGCACTTTCGACAGCAGATACACGAGGCGCGAACAAATACACGTGGTCGCTCTTTGCCTCACGACAGGAGATATTGTTTTTCGTGTGTGTGTTTTCCTGCATGCCACATTGGTGTTTGTTTCTGTGATGCCGCTAGCTTCTTTCGCCATGCGCACGGCCGCCTTGCGGCCCAACCTGGGAGCGCCTACTTACAGCACCAGCTGGTCATTGGTACCCCCCCCACCCCGCCCCCGCGCTACCTTGCGAGAAGGTGGAAATGCAGTTCCAGCCGGCCCTTGATTCATACGTTGCCGGAGGAGACCAGGGGGGTGATGGAAAGGACGAGGACCTAGACAGCGCGGACGCCGAGCTGGCTCGGGCCACGCAGTGGGCGGAGCGCTGCGCCTTTCCCTTCGAGAACTTCTTGCCGTTGTTCCACCTCGCAAGGAGGCGTGGCCTGCCGATGGTCGCCTTGGGAGTCGACAGGTGCGTCCAGGTGTACAGCAGGGGTTGCGACGGCGGTGTGTGTGTGTGGTGGCGGTATGGGGTGATGCGTGCAGTTTCCTGCAGCGTTTGGGCCAGGAGGGATTTGGTCTGCTATCGTTTGGGGTTTTCGGGGCGGCGAGAGAAAGCAGGAGCGCCTCTTTGACGTTTTGTTGGCGCCGAGGGGGTTAAGGAGAAGATCGTAACGAGGCCCACCCGGCGATCATTGTGTGTGATTATTTTTTCTTTTGGTAGGGACGCGCTACATGCTGTTATGTTTCGAATTCGGTTTGGGCCTTCGTTAAGTTTGTCAGGCGCGCCATCTTGCGTGATTGTTTTTTTTTATCGGGGACGCTACGGTTGGTTTTTCGAACCCGGTTTTGGCCTTCGATAAGTTTGTCAGGCGCCATTCTGTTTGTCAAGGGCCATCACGCATGATCATTTCGCTTTGTTCGGAGACGCTGTACGATTTTCGAAGTCACCTTTGGTCTTGGTTAGTCTAGTCCCCCTCCAGCCATTCTGCGGGTGGTGTTCGTTTTGTTCAAGACGCTGTACGATTTTCGAACTTTGGTCACATGACATCGTGCCATTGATTTTGGGGGGGGAGTGGTCTCTCGGCAGGCCGGGCCGTTGCACGTTGCGAAGAATGGCCTTCTGAACTCATTTTTGTGGGGCGAGGTGATGTATTTATTGGCATCGTGTGCGCGGCGAGGAGTTTTAGACGAATCGATCGCCTGGGGTGCTCTCACGTTCAGCTTTTGGCCCCGTTGGGCATGACGACCTACTACAAGCACAGCACCGGACGTCCGTACACCCTGCTATTAGATACCAGTATCATCTTTAGTCGGCGTCTCTTTGGTTATCCTTTGTGTTATCATTGACGTCACTCATTGTTGTTGTTATTTTTTTCGGGGCCCGACTTCCACGCGGGGACCTCGGCAATCCGCATCTCTCGCTTCGTCTTTGACGCACGGCTGCGTTTTTTTTCCGTGGCACAGTCATGCATGGGTGGGGCTCCCAAATACCCGGCGATTTTAAGAATATACCCCCACGCTTAAGAAAATGCGCGCTGTCAAGCAGTGTATCCTTGCTGCGCGTAAACGTGTTGTTGCGACCGTGTGCGGCATACTGGCAGTATGCTGGTCCCGAGTTTGTTTGTGCCTGTGCCGTGTGCTGTCTGTCCTTGAGGGTAGATATTTTTTTTCGATTTCGAGAAACGATACTTGATATCAAGCACCGCATGTACGTCTTCGATTTAATTTGGCGTTTTATTTTGTTTCCTGGCAGCGAGAAGGTGTTCGACGTGATGCAGAACGGCATGGACTCGCTCGGGGAGGACGACAGGAACGCGTACGTGTCCGACTTCAAGGGCTTCGTGACGTACGTGAGGGACAAGGGCTTCCAGGTCTACGCGGACAAAGTACGTTTCGTGCGAGTTTCTTTTTGTTCTCCGACACTTCCTGTTGTGGCTCATTGTGGAAGTCCGTGCCTTGCTGTATCGCCTTTCGCGACCGATCGCTGTTCTGGGGCACCCGCAGATTCTCTTGCTTCTCTCCTGGAGCAACGTCTCTTTAGCTCAAACTTGGCCTGAAAAAACCATAATTTTATTGAATTGAGTCAACAACACTCTTGTAGACTCAATTCTTTGTTCAGCGCTCGCGTCGGATTGGGTTGGCGGTGGTAATACCGCTCTGGTTGACCATGTACGGGGACCATTTGGATACCAACGTGAATGCATACCCCCAGTTACCCACCCCTGTGCTTGCAAACAGTTTGGTTCCTCGCCAACAGCTCTCTGTGTGTTGTATATTTCTGTGTGCCTGGTCTCACCCTCACCCTGGGGGAAGACGAGAAGCCCGGGAAGTCATACCACGAACCCCCTTTTTGCAGATCGCAATGTGTTCCGAAGTCTCTTGCCTGTTGTCGAGTCGAATCCAACAACTTGTTCTGGTGTTCCTCTCTCCGGCGGCATGATTTTGTCTCAGAATGGCTTCTGTAGGGTTGCACTCGTTTCATTTCGTGGTTCTCGGTGGCTGTAGGGAGCGTAGTATGATGTGATACCGTGTTTCTAGCGTCGAGGTGCTTACTATGATGCCACACAGAAAAAGTCACCCTGTTCACCCCTTCGATGTAGCTGACCAGCCGGCCGCCCTTTTCTCCTTTCAGTCTGGGACTCGGGACGCACACTAGACCAACAACCCGCCCCCCCCCCGGTGTTTTGGAACCTATGCATACAGTACACGTCTTTTTGGTTTTTGCCGTCTCTGCCTCTTGTGTCGCGATGGTCGATGGTCGGCACCCTACCCTCTTTTGCTCCTGGCCGTGGGTGTGCGCTGGAAAGCCCCCCCGCTACCACCGGTACCGCCTCCGCTACACTCCACCGCCTTCTTTTTGTATCGAGAGCGCCGGCCAACAACCCACAAGTAGCGTGCAGCACCGAAGTCCCCAGTAACTATTTCTTGCTGTCTCTGCCTCCTTTGTGGCGATGGTCGGCACCCTGCCCCGCTTGCTGGGGGCCGTGGGTATTTCCTGTAACGCGCCCCGCCGCCATATTCCGCCGCCTCTTTTTCCGCCACCTCGTTTTTTTGTCTCGGGAGCGGTGCTTGCGAGGAGGTGGCTTTCGGCACGCCGCCGCCGGTTCCCTTGACCTCGCCCGGTTCGTTTTTTTGTTCGCCCGTCCGTGCCGTCCTGTCCTACCACCGTCGTCGTCGTCTCTCTGGACAGCTGATCTTCCCCTCGTACGACAGGCTCAAGGAAGCGGGGTTGTTGGGCAGCAAGCCGCCGACCAAGCCCAACTTCTTCGCCGCTAGAATCCTGGCTGACGAGGCCGTCGCGTCCAAGGTACGGTAAGGCCGGGCTGGGGAGGGGAAATGCCGGTAGCGTCGCGGCGCTCACGCTGCTTGTGCAAGCTCTGGGAGAGGGGTACACTCGCAAGGTTGGGCCGTTGACTAGCACCCCTTCAACGCCAGGACGGAGCGAAATGTCGTGTTTTCATAACGGGGGATAGATTTTTCTTCGAGGAGTGGGGGCTGCGAGGCGCGCGGGTTGGGGGGGAGGTATGCTGTCCAGGGGAAGGGTAGCGGGGGTCGGTGAGAGGGTCGTTTCAAGAAGCAGGGGGTGATTGTAGCCTTGGTCTCGCGGCGAGATTCTCTTTTGACGTATTTTCCACACTGTGCAGCGCGAATCCGCTCGCCGAATCCGTACGCAGAACAGGCATTTTTCACAGTTCGCCTGCGAGCCTCACCGTCGCGTGTTGTGCCATGCTAATTCCGACGCGGTCCCGAGCGTTGTTGCCTATATAAGATGGGACGGGCTTGACACGTTGGGTTCGGGAGCTGGGTTTGGGGTCGAAGTTGCTAGAGTCTGCCTTCTCCCGACCCCGCCATCTCTGGCAAGCTCCATGTTCGGCGGAGCGGACACCTCATGCCTGCTGTTTGTAGGGATGTAAGAATCTATTGGGAAGTGAACTACGGCCATGCATGTTGCTGAGTTTAAAAACGTCCCTTTTTGCCCCCCGTCCCCCCCCTATCCGGGCGTTTCTGTGGAAAACCCCAATAAGGCGGTGGATTGGGCGACCGATAACAAGGGGCTGAAATTGTTTGTGGTGCAGAGGGAAGACCACGTTAAGTTCGGCTTCGGCGCTTCGGGGAGAGCGGCAAGGTGAGTGAATGACGCCCCGGAGCTTTCATCCCGTTCGAGCATGTAGAACGGCGCGCGTTTGGACGGTGCGCTTTATTTGATTTTCGGAGTCGGGCTCGGCAACGCCGTTTCTTGAAGCCTCACGACCATGATGTTGTTGTCGGCTTAGAAGATGTGGTGGCTAGGACAAATGACTGCTGCTGCTGCTTTTCATTGCCAGCCAGTCGCGACTCTTGACCAAGGCAGCTGGCCCTCCACAAAACCTTGATGGCATTCATTCTCTCGCGCGCCCTTACATGCCCCACAGGATCGCCAAGAGCCTGGGGGCCGAGATGCCGACCAAGTCCGTCCTGATAAACCCCACCGCCGAGGGATCGCTGTCGCAGAGCCGGTCCTTGAGGCTGGCGCTGGAGTACGCCGACGACCTCCAGAACGGGAAGCCGCTGGCCAACTACCTTTGGTTCAGCAAGTCCCCGAAGGTCAACCAGATCCCGCGCATGGTCAACCCGGAGGATAAGGGATGGCTCGAGAGGATCAACCTGTACGACCTGAAGGGGGCGGCACCCTCGTAGTGTGCGGAGGGAGAAGCGTCTGTAGCGACCGTAGCGCGTTCTTGGGTTTGAACAAGCGAAGTTGGCGATCAATAGTGTTTTGGCCGCGCTTCGCCACGATCTCCAAGAGGGGAGACGCGTGCACCAATATTGCCAGGTACCCAGGGAACGTTATAGGCATTTGATTGCGCGCGGTTGCCGCTATCTTGTCAGTATCGAACTTTCGGTGTTCCGGTGGTATGTGAACGACGCGAATGATTGGAGAACTCTTACATGCGTGATTTCGTCCACAGCCTCGGGTACGAAGATACCTCTCTGTCAACTCGATGCTTGCGGCGGTCTCTGACCAAATCCAAACACGTACCCACACACTAATATTATCCTAAGCCTCGGATCCTTTCTCAGAGACTCCTTGTACGCGAGAACGACTTCGTTCGGTCTACGTCGGGTACGGGCGCCATGAACACATAACGAAGGGCGCAATTCACCTATCGGCTATTTAGTTGCTGGAGAATGCCCACCAAAATAGATACGACAGAGGCACTCACGTAGAAATAGTCCTCTCGTGGTTCTCGACCATGCGATCGTTATCGATCAGGTATGGTAGAGTCACCCAGCACGCCGCCGAGCACTGCGGAGTTCCATATGTGATCGGCATCAAATATATACATGATCGGACAAGCTGGTGAGGTCGAACATGTTCTGAGGACATGGGAGAAAACAGCGGAGCATCAGTGTGAGCAGTGAGCACGTTGTTCAACTACAGTATATAGCAGTCGAAATCAAAGCATCAGACTAGTCAGCGCTGGCTGTTAGTCTAGACTATCGGTTTTAATCCTAATTCTTAAAGAGATAGTCGTGGGGTACGGTACGGATGGCCTTACACTTTCACTCCGAGGAGGGTGACTCTCCTCGCCAGCGCCGCTATCATTTTTTTCACTCACCCACATCCTGCCGAATGTTTCCGGAGGGTCTTCCCATCTCCCATACTCTGGCCAAGAATACCCAAAATACCTTACAGTTGGGGCATTTGATCAATTCAAAGCGTGGAATGTGTTACATACCCAAGTTTTTGAAACTACGATATCTTGTCAGCACTAGGTTTACGACATGCTGTCTGCAGCATCCGTTCGTTACCGGTGATAAGGCGAAACAACAATGATGGGGTTCTTCAATACCAGCAGGGGAAAAACCATAGGCAAGCTCGGCTTACCCCAGACCCAGACGACCTGGCCCACCTCGAGTTGCACATTGCTGACGAAGCCGTGTTAACTAGTCTACTGGATGTTCGGACCCAAGCAGGCACCGTCGTCCGACGCCCTCGTCGCATCTCGACGCGCAGGACGGCGTTTCATCATGCTGTCGTCAAGGATTTGATTGGGGCGTTGGTATTTCTAGAGTAGAACCAGGGGCTACACTCGGACCCAGCAATTGCGGTTGGCCGGTTTCTTGTCGTTTTTTGCGTCCGTTGCTTCCTTACTTCGGGGTAGCATGGTGTGCTTACTGGTGAGCGACGCGAGAAGCGGTAAGTGACAGCGAACAACCGTAGGTTACTTTTGAGTGGATGCCCTTGACTTCGGATATGTAGGCGTGCGCCTTCGACACGTCATGTGCAGCCGGTCGCGTCGATAGGGAGGGAGACCAAGGAGACGTCGAAGACAACATGGTACGATGGGTAGCAGGTGATATGGTGCGGAGCAGGCCGTGCAAGTTGTGTAGTCGTGTGTCATGTGGGTGTTTACCGTATATGACACAAGATAACACACCCCCTTGGCCGATTTTCAAAGCTCGATTTCTCAACAGCAGGAAGAGTCACAGCGCCGAAAACGGCGGCGTTGGAACCGTCTCGTCGAGAGCTGTTCGAAAACGTATTGTTTCATTTATGCATCCTCTTCGTCGTGGAGTAATCGAGCTTTGAAAATCGGTCCAGGGGGTGTGTTATCTTGTGTCATATACGGTACATGCTTACCACTGCTTACGCAATTCCGCGCGGAACTGTCATCCCTTGGCCAATCAGCGATGTCGAAATGACAGCCCCGTGCCGGAACTTTTGCGTTCAGTGGCGCTCTTTGCGAACAAGGTATGTACGGATGTACCGCAGTAAACCACCAGCCACCAGCACTCGTGGTAAGCGACACCACACACTATGCAATGCTGTCTATCATTACGGTGCTGTCTTGCATATTTCGTTCCTCCGTCCTGTTCCCCTATCCGACCGGCAGCGCATGAACGTGTAGGAGCACGTACGCGCGTACCCACCAAAATCGTATTGTTGTATTTGTACTGAAGCTTCACATCTCATATGTCCATATGTTGGCTGTTGTTGTGCATGCGGCATAGAAGAGCGTGTGGGCGTCTCTGAAGGCCGAGATTGAGGCGGACACGGCAAGAGCTATGCAACGGCCCAATGCAGAGAGCAAGAATCGCCTCGCGAGTCGAGTCCTTTCGTCTGAATGTGGACCCACGGCCACGGTCAGGTATGGCATGCAGGGTCAGAGAGGGCTGGTTGCTGACAAATACTGAACGACCTCGACTCGAACCTCCCCCAAAAGGAATTTGAGAAAAGCCACCCCAATCTACTCTTCGAAATGCAAAAGAATAAAGGCAACAAGAGGCAATCTTTGGCACAATATTGTCTTCCGGTCCGTCACATGGCAAGCGGGAACAGGCGAACGGCAAAACAGTACGCTGCTAGCGGATGGGCCCGCCGCCGGTACAATAAATATTTATATTGGAGGAAGTGTGACGTGGCCACCATCACATGAAAATTCTCGTTCAGACCTCCGGTGAGAAAAAAACTGTTGGAATTCATCTCAAACCACAGATGAAAGCCCGAGAAAAATGAGGAGTTAAACACTTTACAACAGAATACTGGACTAGCGGGCACTACCTGTGGTGTAAATCAAGCAGCATCAACTAACCACCGGTTGATCTCGCAGGCTTCTCAAACACGCCATGTGTCGTTACATCGAAGGCAGGTTCAAATATTTCATCGTGTGAGCCAACGCGTTCGTTCGTATCTCCTCCTAATTTCTTGTCAAGTTCTTGGGCTCATGTATGTATTCCAGAATAAAGATGCGGACTTCGACACCATCTATGCATCGGTTATAGGCGGAGATGAAGCAGTCGAACACCAAGCCGGAGATTTTGACGGTGTGGATGAAACGAATGGGTTGCAACGCCTGTTCGCTGCTGAGGTAAATATCGACTAGCCCGACCATCCTCTGCCTTCACTCCATCTACCCGCCGCTGCCGGTGGTGAGGGGCTAGTTTCCGCGAGTAAAACCGACTGCAATGCCTTCATCACGATGATATCGTTCATTTTTAGCGCTTCCTACGAACCCATGCAATGGCAGCTGATGGATTGTGGTGTGACCCTAGCTGACCGCAATCTAGCCAAGTGAAGAATCTGACGTCCAAATGAAATGAGACTGTTGTAAAGCACGTTGTTCGCGTTGTTTATCGCAAGTATCATTCTGAGGTTGTGTGAAAGTCGCCCTTTCCTTCGATAGCACTTTGGAGGGAGTGTGCTGAAATGCGATGGGTCCTGCGAACGACAAAATGTCCACACGTCATTGCACATTAGATTCGAAACGCATGCTGCGAAGTGTTACGAAGCAAGAAATGGGGCATTCGCCTGGTACGCCGTCTATCGGCGACAAACTCGCCACAGAACCCAGCGGATGTGCCGGGTACGAGCTGGAGGGGGCTAGGGGCTGAGGGTTAGGGAAATAGAGCTAGGGAAGAGTGCTAGCGGATAGAGCTCGGGGAGGGCGATGTCTTCATCGGCCAAGGGACGATATCTCAGAAGACGTCGAACTTCATAGAATGCTGAACGTCTCGCGCCCCCGGTGTCCCCTCCACCCAAGTCAAGCAGGCACCGGGGAAGTAACACAAACGAGGGCTACGAGCAAAGTCAGACGCGCTGTTGTCCGACCACAACGGCCAAATATTCAACAACGGGTCAAACCAGGATATAAATCCGCACCATCCCTCTTCGGCTTTCACGTGAAGTGCATACTGTATGTATTCGACGGTGCGAGGGCCACGGGTAGAATCTGAAGCTCTCCGGCGTATCTTTGGGAGGCCCACACGGGAAATAAACATGAACACTCATAGAAACGTATACTTCTAGAGTATTGGGCATAGATATGCGGAGGTCGTAGGTGGTAGGTGGCGGGCGAACTCACAGGGGGTTTCTATTTGGTCTCATCGGAGATTTGACTAGTGATCTGGATTGCGTGACGGATGGATGTGGTGCCGCGCCCACGCGTGGTGTTGTGCTCCGGTTTCCATTTCCCTCGTAAACAAGCCATTCAAATCTGGGCCCTCACTGGCCATCTCACACAGCTTAACCTAACCGTTGTTGCCAAAAATTGGGCTGTGTGTATTACATAGGTAGGAATCACCCGGCGTTTCGTTGCTGCATCTATCTCTGTCTTTTTGGTCGCCTGGAAGCTTGAATTCTCAGCATTGTTTCAACGTGTGCCCGATGGAATTGTGTAGCGGTTTTACACTCTTTCCGTTCGTGAAATCTAGGGATTCCTAATGAGAACCACATTGTCTGTGGCAAGCCATGAAAAAGTGTCCCCAATAATTACGGCCTAGAGGGTGCGAACAATCAGCATGACTTACAGTAACCATCCGACTGTCGCATGGGCGACTGTATTTCGTGATGACCGTGGTCATCCGTGGTTGGCCTCAACCAAATCAAATCCTTGGTCGAACGCTTTTCCTTTTCACAGGACATTGGGGGGTTGGAAGAATGTTCTGACGGTTTCTGTCCCCCTATCCTCATGTCGTCCCGGTTGTTCGGCGTAGAACAGTGCCAATTCGACGAAGAACTGCTTGTGGTGTTGTGGAAGGGATCGGAAGACCAAACACCGAAGAGGGCAGGGTCACAAACGGTGAGCAAGTCCCCCTTGGTTGAGCGGGACTGGTGTCGGTTGTCCATACCCGACAAGGATCTCCACATCTCTACCATTCGTTCGGCCAAGTATTCCATATAGTGAATATAAAAT